AGCCTTCACGACCCCGCGCATCTCGCGCCCACTCCTCCGCGCGGCGGCCGCCACCTTCTCCACCGCACCCCCAAGATACAAACATGCCCCACCCTCCATCGGCCAACTACCCGCGGACTCCCAATCCCAATTCGAACGCAACCGGCACACCTTCCACGACCGACAAGCCGCCGCCGCCGCAGAAGCCACCCGTGAAGCCGCCGCCCGCGAACCCAACGCTACCCCGGACGGCCCCGAAATAAAGACCGGCGGCGTCCTAACCAAGCTGCTGCACGGCTCTAGCGAGGCGCAACAGGACACCTATCAGATTCAGGAGTCGTACTCCAAGGTACTCGCTAGAGGCAAGTACGTGCACGAACTGGTGTTCCATCGCGTCAAGCCGGATGCTATCGACGATTATGTCGAGCTTATCGGGAACGAGTATCCGCGGATAGCGAATGATGAGAAGGCGGGCGTTAAGCTTGTTGGGAGCTGGTACACGGAGATCGGAGAGGGAGACGTATTCGGTATGATGCACAGTCCCTAATTTGATGATAGCACCGTTATACTCTCAGGCTGGATTTGTATCGCAATTTGGTGTCAGATTTACGAGACAAGCGGGATGGCCACCATCTTGTCCGTTCGCTTGTCTCGAACTGCTGATGGCTGGTATTCACGAAACATGGTCTTCATCGTCTACGGCCAGAGCCTGATTTCAAAATTTGACCGCCAACCACACTACTATACCATAACACAACGACCGCTAACGAACATCTATCCACAGTCCACATCTGGGAATACAACGGCTACGCCGGCTACCATGACACAATGCGTTACCTAAACAGCCAATCCCACACCGAAAAATACAAAACCGAAGTCCGCAAACACCTGCAATCCCGGTCAAACTCCATCGCCCAGGAATTCTCCTTCTGGCCGACCACCCAGCCGCGCACCCTCGGCGGCGTCTTCGAGCTGCGCTCCTACACGCTACACCCGGGTAACCTGCTCGAATGGGAGACTCACTGGCGGAAGGGCCTGGCCGCGCGGCAGAGCCAGGGGATGGAAGGCGTAGGCGCATGGTTCACACAGATCGGTGGGCTGAATGAAGTTCACTATCTGTGGCAGTTTGGCGATCTGAGAGGACGGCAGCTGTTACGAGAGAAGAGCTGGTCGGCCGAGTACGTCCATTTCCTACCCCGCTACGAATTCACAGAAAACGATATCAATCACCTCGTTACGGTTTATAGTTGTGATGACAGATGCTAACGATTATGGTATAATAGAGGCTGGGCTGACACCGTCCACAAGACCATCCCGCTGATCGCAAAGATGCAGTCCAAGATTCTGCTTCCGTTACCTTGGTCCCCCGTCAAATAGAGGTCGCGGGAGGCGCTCGAGATGCGGATTCGCGACGGCGCGGAATTGTATAAAGCGAATATGGCGCCATAAGTCCCAGTGCACCGGATGCTACATAATCTCTGAATAGTCGTTAGTTGCTAGTAGTGGTAGCTAGACGGTGGCTTTGTATTTTACCTGCTTGGTGGTTTGCGGATGTTTAGACATTCGTCGATATCATTTGGACTGCGCACGCATATTGATTGCATATTGATTGACTTTATATCTATCACGTATTGTTTTCATGCATGCATTTTCTTATATTCATAACGTGGTAGACTGCTAGACGTGAGTAGATTGTCTGTCTTTCGGCTGGTCGGCAGAGTCGAGACCGTGGTACCAGCGCAGCTGGATACAATAATATAATTTCAGTAGCTATAGCTTGGCTGACTCGATATTTAGTAAGGAGTGTGCAGGGTATCAGGACTGTGAGTGTGCGAAAATTCAAATTCTCCGGATAAGATGTGCTATGTTTTATAAAAATAAACTGGACCGTACGTCTAATATGTTATAGATACTTATGCTAACTAGTTCGACAGCAGACATGTGCATGAGACGCGCTTGTCTCGTAAACCAGACCCTGCCCTTTGCGTTGCAAAAAAATAGACGCGCTGGGTATGTGAAGAAATATATACAAGCCAGACCCAAGCTGGTTGAAGTTTACGACCAATTTTCCCTGTGGCCCCTGCCCCAGCTACTTGCCATCCTTGGTATCGGGAGCGTCCACCCGCTCTCCTGCAGCTGCATCTCTGGACATGGAATGTTCATCGACTGGAGCGGCCGTATTACTACGTCTATGCCCCCTAGCCGGCGATTTTGGTGGGACGTCGACAGTCGTGTCGGTATCATCTGTAGACGTGGTCGTGGACTGCTCTTCATCGGAATCGGAATCGGAGTCGGAGGAATCGGAGTCAGAGCTATCCTCAGAGTCAGAATCAGAGTCAGAGCTATCCTCGGAGCCGGAATCTTCGTCGGATGATTCGTCCCCATCCTCGTCCGTCCTGTAAGGGTTGCTTTCGTTCTCGCGGTTCTCGTCATCGTCATCGTAATCGATAAGCGGCCGTTCCTGTCTGCTTAGTTCTACCCCTTTCTCCATAATCTCCACTAGCGGTATATAGATCCGCGGCGGGGGCGTCCTCATCAGCTCTTCCAGCGTCGGTGGCTGTGACGACTTCCGACTCCACTCCATCTGCTTCTTCCTCCCCTCGCAGGCAATACGCAGCACGTCATCAGCCTCTAAAATATCAACGTCGTCGTCCTCCTGGATCCCATATCGCTTGCCCAGGTCTACCACTTCTTCCACAGTTACCTCCTTACAGTCGCTGCAGCCCAGCCCTTCGACTAGCTGGTCCACCACGTCTCGCCGCACACCTCCTACTGTCGCACGCTCCACCTTCGGAACGTCCATTCGTTCTACAGTGTTGTCCAGAGTGCCGTTTGCACGGGTCTGGCTCGGCCTCTCGAACATCTCACGCTCCATCGACCACATCTGCACACCGTCCAGACCGCACGGAACAATCTCCTCAAACATGGCCAGATCCGGGTTGACGTTCAGCGCGAAGCCATGGCTGCTGACCCACCGGCGCAAATTCACGCCGACGCTCGCGATTTTCCGGTCGTGCGCCGTCCACACGCCCGGCTGGTCCGTCGTGAAGCCCTTTATACCGTACTTTTCCCTCGCGAGGACATTAATGATCGTCTTCTCGAGAAAGCAGATGTACGAGCGCGGTGTGAAGTTGTATTGTCGCAGGTCGATAATCGGATAGGCGACAAGCTGGCCGGGCCCGTGGAAGGTCGTCTGGCCGCCGCGCGGTGCGTACGCGAAGGTCACCGCGTGCTCGGCCGCCATCTCCAGGAGTGACTTTGGCGGCTCTGAGAGTCGCTCGCGTCGGCCGAACGTGTAGGTTGGATGGAACTCAGCGGTGATGAGGTACGGCGGCGGCGGGGCCGGGAGGAGTGGGATGGGGGCATTGCTATTGCCGCTGGTGGAGGGCGCCCTTGACTGCTGCGCTTTGTACAGGAGGTGCAGCCGGAAGAGGATGGATTGCAGCTTGGAGGCAACGCCGTAGTGGTACAGCGGGAGGTTCAGGTGGTGGAGGCTCGGCATTTCGGCGCGGCGGGGCGGTCATGGCGCGGTCATTGACGGATGTGGCCTGCGCGACGCTGAGGAAGCTGAGCGCATATCGTGTTGGTGGGCGACAATTGCGCTGTGTTGCACATTAACCACGGCGTCGAATTCGCGTGCAACATCAAATCTCGCGCGGTGGCCTAATACTTTCGTATAGGCTTCAAGGAAGTATCGAGTCGCCGTTCGATTGCATGATGGCATCGTCGTTTCTCCAAGTTGAAGTTCCGGTTCCGGACCGTCGTTTCGAAATCCACGCACCTTCAGTCTCAACGATCCGAGCATTTCGAAATTCAGGCATCGTCCGTTTCAAAATTCAGGCATCCATTTTGCCCAAGCTGGCATAAGCGCCCCAACCGACGCATTAACCGCGGTGTAACGTGAGATAACGAAATTCAGGCATCCTCCGCAAACTCGTCTCCAGCTTCAACTTGACCGCGAAGTGCACAACGTCAATATCTAGCTCAAAATGAGCACGCAAAGACAGTTTCCAGCCCTAACAGCTTGTTTTGACATCTGGTCCGCCCTATAGGGACTGCAGTTCTATGGTATATTGATTTAAGGTTGCACAAAGTCGCGGCTAGCAGTGAAAATGCGTTTTTGGCTCGCACGCTATCCTACTTCCACGGACAGGCCTAGCGTCGGCATAGACGACATGATAGGCGCTATCTTAGGGAAGGCTACGAACCTGACCAGTTAGAATGTTTTGCTCGAGCCCGAGACTATTGCTCAAGCTTAAGTCAATTATCCCTTGAAGGTTTGGCTGAATTGAATTTTGGCAATGGTCGGCAAGAGGCCCGCACCACGCACAGGACATTCCATGGTCGATACAAAGTACTCACGAGCCGGTTCATCTAACCACGCGGAATTGCCATTGATCTTTGAGAACGAGTCTCCAAACTTCGAATTCGCATACCCATAAAGAGTTACACTCGTCAAATTTGCGCGAATACGCGTGAACCAAGAGTTCTGTTTTGCAATACTGCTCGCCCGTACAAGGTAATGCCCACACTATTCTACATCTCGGAAATATAAGCGAGCCCTCCTAGCCGAATTCAAGATGAAGATATTGTCAATGTGGCTACCTTTCCAAGTAAGTAAAAGGTATTTTGCCAATTGCATGGTTTCGCCACATTCTAGATCCTCGAGTCTCGATATCTGGCAACTTCATCCTCGCAAAGTCACATCAATTGGATGTCTCCGTCAGGCCCAGCTTCACTAGCTCAAAAGGCCAAAAGACCGGCTGTCTGGCTTACGAGACAAAATTGCCCTGCAGTCGGTCCGTATCCAAACACTGGCTAGTCAACCGACCTGCATTGCACCCATGCAAGCCACGTCGTTCAAGCCCAGCTCGTCCACGCCATACTATACCAAATCCCACCGCGATACAACCCTCCCCTGCCGGCTAATCTCCGCATCACCGAAAAAGAACTTCAACTGCCCCAATTGCAAAAAATTACACCAATCCATTGAAAGAAAACCGCAAAAAGATAACTCGAGCTGCTCCAACCTGGATTCGAACCAAGGACCTCGACATGACACTGTATGAAGATACTAGTGTCGCGCTCTACCAACTGAGCTATTGGAGCTGATCTCGTTGACGTCGCCGCGGAGTTTGTGCGAATTGGATGTAGCTAGGCGGGGCACGAAGTTTCTTCTGTTGTATTTTTTGGGGCACCCAACGCGTTAACACAATCACTACTGTAGTTCGTGGCTTGCTATGATCCGTGTGTTCCTATGGCATGAGTGCTGGATGGAATCAAAATTGCTAAGCTGATCAGCTGGTTCAAAACGATGGTGAGATTTCTTCGAAACTTGGAGGTGCTGTTAATAGGTGTGTGCTGAGTAAATAGCGCTAACTACAAACTGTTTTGCCCATTATATTAGTACTGCTGGACAAGAAGGTCTATAATCATCATTATTATTATTATGTCAACTGATATTCGACTAAGAGGGCACGGCGGCCTGACGATACTACCTACTTATCTAATGACCTAGATAACCGTGCTTTATTGCCAAAGCTGCGTGCATGTCGGAGGCAAGTATTACGATACAAGTCGTATCGTCTGTATGCATTGTATGTGCGTGTGTACTCTTCAAAATTGCGTTCCAGGATATTACCGCTATTACATCTCCAAAGTAGAGAAGATAGCGAATATTAAAATTATGCATGGAATATATGAATCTTACTGTTAGTAACGGCGCCGCGCCATATCCGTATCACGGTAGATACGCCAGCGTGTCAACCGTATGCACCCAACTCCCCATGCAAGGACTATATACATTGAAATTAAATTAACTGGTTTAAAATATTAATCAACTATACCGGCTGAGCCAAAGATAGAGGCTCGCTGGGCTGATACCGCCGTCGCTTATATTCCTGGCCGTACGGCACGTCAGTATTCGCAACATACTGCAGCCAGTACTGACCATTCGTAGCGCCCGCCTCGAAGCAACTACCCAGAGGTCTGCCCTCAGGACTGTAAGCCAGATAGTACTGAGGCGCGATGGTAATACAACTGATCAGATCGACCCGTCCCTCGTTGATGTCATTGTTCCCCGAGAGAGCAATCGTCATGTTGGCCACATCCAGGTCCCAGTAGACGTAGGCGAAGGTGGGTCCCGGGACGTCAATGACACTCTGTCGCCTGAACGTCAGGGTGTCGTCGGCGAGAGTTGTGCTTTGGCCTGCTTGCTTTACGGTTAGCCAGAAGGGGTCTGGTTCTTCGGGATCGTAGATTGTGATCCTCCATGCATCCGCTGTCGCGTCGTAGACGAGCATCTCGAGGACACCTGTTACAGAGGAGGTCATTTCGGTGACCCCGTTTGCCGGGTCGGAGCCGACGTATGTTCGGTATTCACGCGTGTAGAAATCGGCACTTAGCGGGTATCCGATGTAGTTTGTGTAGATGACGGGAGGGCCTGAGAATGTTTGCGTCTCCGGTATGCTGAGGGTTGAGACGCTCGAGGTGACGTCGGTCGAGGATGAGGTCTCTACCCGGCCGATAATGCTGGTCACCGTGCTGATCTGGACTTCCGTCGTGGGGACCGGTGAGGTGACAGCCAGCATGCAGCCGCTGGAGATGGCAGCCGCTACGAATGTGGTGAGTGGATCTGGGATTTGACGTTTTTCGGCCCGCCTGTTGATTAAAGTGCTGAGGACGGTGGTTGCAGTGCTCGTCTCGGTGGATGTGTAGGATGGAACGGTCACGGTATCGAGGTATTCGGATTCGGTGAGGACAGACGTCTCGGATATGATGAATAGGTCCGTCGAGACAGACGTCGATACAGTAGTTTGAGCGCTGAGGATTGTAGGTGTCGAAAATGTCGAGTATTGGAGCAAAGTGGAGCAATAGGGCTGCAGGCTGTTCGATAGGATGACTTCGTATGCGGCTGTGACATCATCCGAGAGGCCGCTGCTCGTGCTAGAGCTTGCACTAGAGGTAGAGCTGCCGCTGGTGATGGTGTTCATGCTGCTGAAACTTGTCGAAAGACTTGATGACGACGACGTGCTGCTGCCCGATATGACCGTCGGGATTGGGGGTGCATTATTGCCATCCGTAACCAGAGTCACCTTCTCCCAATCCGATGGTACAGAAGCTCCGACAGCCGCCATGTACAGATTGTACAGAGTAAAAGTGTAGTTCGTCTGAAGCACTCGGTAGTATTCGTACTTGACTCCGGCCGGGCTGACCAGGAAGACCGTCTTTCCCTGGATGTTGAACTGTCTAACGATATCGTCGGCCTCAATTGCGGCTGGCGAACGGTAGAGAACCCTGCCGTACTTCGGGTTCGCCCGCTCCTCGATACTCCGATCACCTGGTCCGTACAGCGAATCGTCGGGGCGCAATAACACGATCTTCTTCGGGTCTCCCGCATCCCTCATCAGTCCCTTTTCGTTCAGTTGCAACAACGGCAGCACAAGCCCAAGATCATTGATATCTCCACCATCCTGCCGTTTCGGCATCGGTGCGTCCGTCTGCCGGCGTGTGTTCCCCACGGTGATTGTCGCCGGCGCAATGACGACCTGGCCACGGTTGTCGAACTGGAAGAACAGATCCTCCCCATCGCCGTCGGTCTGGATGTAGAACGTCGTGACGCTGGGTATCGGTGCGGTCCCCGTCGAAGACGACGAGGTGTCGATGCCACTCGAGGAGGCAGCCGTGTTGGTCGCCGGCGATGTCGACACCGATAGCGGGGCCCATGTTACCGCGTCGCAGAACGGTAGGGCGTTACACTGCCCGTAGACGGTGTAGAAGTAGGTGCTCTGGGTGGTAATGTATACCGTTGTTGTGGTGTGCGTCTGTGCCCACACCGGCACGAGCAACAGCGCTCCCGCGAGCACTGTTGTCTTTAGAAGGGGTTTCATTTTTATCTACCTGGAGGCCGTCCAGGCGCCCCGTAGGCAGATCACAATAGATCGCCCAACGCCCAATGGAAGCGCAAGCTTGCGGGGTTTTCATGATGATATGTTTCTTCTCCGACACGTTCCGCTCTGTGATACATCCACGTGCTAGGCATATGAGGCTCTCTCTTTATCCCGTCCCTATGGATTTTGGTAAGTTCTTAAGATTCTTTGGTTTTATTTGTGTAGAGGGGCGTGTAGTCCATAGTTAGTATATTCTGAAATCGCAATTCGTCTCGAGATAGAGCTAGCGATGTGCGTAGATGTATAAGGCGCGCAAATAGAAACTGAGACGTCAAGCACCTCGATCGTGCGCAAATCTTCTACTAAGTACTTGATCAACCGATTTTATCCCCAATAGGTAAGCCTATAATAATGAATATAGAAATCGTCGCCATGGGGTCGATCCATCTTGGACTTCAAGATATGCCATGTACAGCTGCAACAATGTCAACACATCTCTTTGCTACCGTATCGCTTCCATTTCGTGTAGGACCGTCAAAGATCAGCGACAGGGTTCTCTACGGTACAAAGATCAACAACAGGGTTCTTTACGGTATTGATTTCAAACTACAGCGTGCAAGAATTAACAAAAAAACTACTTCGCACGACGATGTATATCCGGATAGTCGAATCCCCTTCAAGGCCTTCCGAATTCCACTTGTGTAACACAACATAACTGACCTAAGTGGCTGGTCCAGAAATATTCTCTACTGGGTCATATCATACCCACAGGTCTAAGAACTCCAATCTGACTCATATTATAGAAACTGAGATTCGCAATCACCGCCATGATAACGGGTGATAAATGACATGTGAAGATACACCACTCTAATAGAAACTGCAAACCTCAGCGAACGAGAAGTAGGATAATATTGGCCAACAGGGTTGCCGATTGACAATCGTACATCGAACAAGCGGGTAGAGCTCAACGCACGTTATAACGTTATTTATTTTTTGTTGAGCCCCACGCCAGCAGATACACGACAGGGATGCCCGCCGACATGCCTCCGAATGCCGACCTGCCGATTTCTGATAAGTAACGGCTCTGCGTTTCTGACAAATATCGGGACATGTCAACCTGCCTGTCTGTCGCTGGGAGTCGGACCGGGTATATAAAATCTCTTCACCGGCTTGGCCAAGCATGCTACAGCGCTTCCAGGTCGGGCAGCCAAGTACCCGGAACCTGCGATAACATGCTCACAGGTTTCTTCACGGCGAAACATTTGATTTTTCTGTCCCGCCAGCCAGAAAACTGCTCCATGTCTGAGGGGACCTTCCTTGTCTAGCGGTGGATAAGAGTGATCAATCGTGAGATCCTGCATGGCGGTGACCCGAATCGTATTATCAGCCTTACGTACCCGAGACATTGAGCTCAGAGCCTTGGTAGGCGAGATCTTTTTATTTTGCTCGTCTACCGATAGTCAATCGCATGTGAAAATTTTGACCGCATTTTTTTTTTCTTGCTCGAGACGAGATATTAGCTTTCGTGATATCCGCCAAGCCTGGTACTTGAACTCGGACTGCAACAAGTATTTTCAATTGCAATGATAGAGATGCCTGGGTATACGAAATATGAGCCGTCGAACTGTAAAAAGATCATCATTGCATCGCGCGGTCATACAAGCTGGTAGAGCTATAGCTGCAAGCGGTTTTCGTAGCTCCAAAGCTCGAAGGGTAGTTGCATGCTAGCTGGCACCTCCTGACACAACAGCCGCACGAAAACCAACAGAAAATTGCTGGTTCCCGCGATATCGTGCCTGAAAGCAGCTCCGTGAAGCAATGCAGTGTAATATAATATACTCGATACTGTGTGACAGCAACACATGGCTCATGCATCATGTCGATCCAGCTATTCCGCAGTCTGCATACGGCTTCCGATCGACGAGAATTACAAAGCCACGATAATCCGACAGCTGTCCGTCCACAAAACGCGCATGTGGCAATCACGATCCCGATAGCATTATCGCGACATCGCTGACTACGTGTATACATGTGTATGTACAGACGTGACAATACTTCGTACAGCTAAGCCGAGGTCATGCCGAGCCATCCCCAAACCGCAACGACAGCAGCGCTAGTCGCACGGAACACGCCGCGCCCAGGCACGCCTTCCCGCCAGCACACCCACCCGTCAATCAGCCCTGTGGTTCCCACCGTGGCTAGCACGACGTCGACGGCACG